GGAATAGGGGTCGGGAAGGAGGAGAAAAGACAAAAAAAGGAGCAACAGTCAGCCAGAGGTCGCCCCAGGTAAAATCCTGCCTGTCCAGGCAGCAGAATGCAGGTCCTCCACCGAGTTCTCCTGCAGATGGCCGCGTCCCACCTCCCAGCCTCACACAGGCTTTCTGTCTTCTCCTCCGCTTTCTAGCTTTCTCGTCACCTTTATCAGCAAACCCCAGCTGCAATCCCTGCATCTCACCCCGTCCTGAGCTCCCGCCTGCCTGTGTCATCACTTGTGTGCTCTTAGAATTCAGCTTACAGGGTTTTTTGTCTGCAGGCCGAGGGGGATCTCCGAGGAAGACACCGTGGCCTACACTCCAGGCCTGTGCTGCCCAATACAGTAACCACTAGCCACGTGGACTGTTGGACATCTGAAGTGTGGCCAGCCCAAATTGAGAGGTGCCGTAAGTGTAGAAGGCACACCAGATTTCAAAGACGTAATACAAAATGAAGAGTAAAATATCCCACCAATTATTTTTATTTGCAGTTTTGAGACTTGGATCTCACTCTGTTGCCCAGGCTAGAGTACAGTGATGTGATCATGGCTCACTGCGGCCTCAACCTTCTGGGTTCAAGCCATCCTCCTGTCTCAGCCTCCCGAGTAGCTGAGACTACAGGCATGTGTCACCATGCTTGGCTTTTTCTTTTTTTAATTTTTCGCAGAGACAAAGTCTGACTATGTCACTCAGGCTGGTCTCAAACTCCTGGCCTCAAACTATCCTCCCACTTTGGCCTCCCAAAATTCTGGGATTACAGGCATGAGCCACTGTGCCTGGTTCCATCAATTATTTTTATATTGATTACATGTTGAAATAATATTTTAGATATACTGGATTATACAAAATATTAAAATTAATGTGAACTGTTTCTTTTTGCCTTTTTTTTTTTTTTTTTTTTGAGTTGGAGCCTCACTTCATCCGCCCAGACTGGAGTGCAGTGGCACACTCACAGCCACCGCAGCCTCGACCTGCTGGGCTCCGGCGATCCTTCCACCTCAGCCTTCGGAGTAGCCGGAATTACAGGCGCACGCTACCACGCCCGTCTGATTTTTTGATTTATTGTAGAGATGAGGTCTCACCAAGTTGCCCAGGTGGGCCTGGAACCCGCGGGCTCAGGCAATCCACTCACCTCAGCTTCCCAAAGTGCTGGGATTACGCGCTCTTTTTGCCTTTTTAATGTGGCTGCTTAGAAATGTTAAACATGCGGCTTGTTATACTTCACTTGGTGCTGCTATACTCTCTCTCACCCGAATAATTCAATTCCTGAAAACCTCTATTAAGTAAATAAAGCCTTAAGGAGACGGGAAAACTAGGGAGCGGGAGGTTGGGAATGAAAGAAAAGCCTATCAATCTTTTTTTCTTTAATGGTCATTAAAATTAATTCAAAAGGACAGTATACTAAATAAACTATCAGTGACCTTCTTATATCTCAAAACAATAATGGACACTAAGCAGTGAAGTTCCATTCAGCAGCCCTTGCTCTCTAGAAACTTTTTTTCTTTTTTTGGTCAAGGTCTCACTCTGTAACCCAGGCTGCAGTGCAATGGCAGGATCACGGCTTACCACAGCCTCGAAGTCCTAGCCTCAGGTGGTACCTGGGACTATGGGTGTATACCACCTCACCCTGCTAATTTTTTGATTGTTTTGTAGAGATGAGGTCTTGCTATGTTGTTGCCTAGGCAAGTCTCGAACTCCTGGGCTCAAGTAATCCTCCCACTTCAGCCTCCCAAAGTGCTGGGATTACAAGTGTGAGCCACTTTGCTCAGCCACTAGAAACCTCTTTATAACATCACAGGAAAGAAAGTTGCTTATAAATTAATTTTTTTCTGAGCATTTGAATGGAGGATCAAATAAAGACTTCAAAAGCCCAACCAGTAGGCTCACTGCCCACAGCAAGGCAGCATGTCGTGGCCTGCTACCCTGTGGAAGCCAGAGGTCCCAAGCTCAGTCTTGAGGACCAATGGAAAAGGCAGTCATGGTAGATGCACAAGTTTTATTTTCTGGCCAGGGGCAGCTCTATCTGAAATTCCTGTTGAGGAACAAAGGATACACAGGTGTAAACATGCCCACTGATTCATAATTTCTACCCCTCCTCATCAATACTCTGTAATTCCTGGCAAACACCCATGGCCTGCCATTCACTCCCTCCCACCATGTACACATTACCCCACCTTGCCTACCCAAGTCCCTGTAGGACCTGAAGGTGTGGCCACACAAGGGACATGTAGAAGATGCTTGCTGCCACCTCTGGAGGTTTCCTTGGCTTCTGGTGTCTTTTCAGTCCATAAGTGATAGACACTTCATGTTTTCTCAGTGGCTGGGAAAGGGATTCAGCCCTTTCAGACTTGGTTGGAGAACACTCAGACCTTGGAGCAACCCTTCAGTTGTAAACTGGAGCTACTTCAATATTCCGGTGTTGAGGACGCTTGACTTAGCTTTTCCCTTTCCCTACAAACTATAAGATAGACACCCATTTTCCAGCAAAGTTCCTGGACCTGTACTGAGCCTGGCTGTGAACAGGGCTGCTGCTGGGCTGGGGAGACACCCTGTTAGGGAGACAGGGCCAAGAATATAACCTTAACTCCAGGCCTCAGCTGGAGAGAGGTGGAAACTTTTTCTATCCACTCTTCCAACTGGGTCAAGTAGAAGGCATCAGATTCCCTTACCAATAGTCCTTCATGCTACTCTCTTCTTTCTAATTAGGAAAAGTATATTCTTAATCATATGACATGTCTATGCCCTGCAATAGCTAACATTGTCCCAGGCACACTGTATGGCTCAATAAATGTTTGCAGAATTAAATGGAATAGATGCCTTCTTTGTGAGGTCTCCTGCCGGAGGATGTCATTTCTCTTAAAAATTCTTTGTCAAGGAACTCATGGGATTATAACAGGCAGGATACAACCAGTTTGTATAATGCAAGAGATCAAAAAGGTAGCTACCTGTGTTTTAAATACATGCAAGAAAGTGGGCTCGGTGGCTCAGCCTGGAATCCCAGCACTTTGGGAAGCTTAGGCGAGTGGATTGCCTGAGCCCACAGGTTTGAGACCAGCCTGGACAACTTGGCTAGACCTCATCTCTATAATCAATCAAAAATTAGTCAGGCATGGTAGCACACGCCTGTACTTCTGGCTTCTTGGAAGGCTGGGGCGGAAGGATCGTCCGAGCCCAACATGTCAACGCTGGGGTGGCCATGAGTATGCCACTGCACTCCAGCCTGGGCGACAGACTGAGACTCCAACTCAAAAAAAAAAACTGCAAGAAGGATGACTCGTGTGAATGTATTATCTATTTTAAAATAGATTAAATTAAAGTTTACTTTAAACTTTAATTAAACACTCAAGACATTGTCACTATTAGAGGCCATTTTTAGCCTCTGGAACTTTTATAGCCATTAGAAGCAATAACTAATTTACTGGATTATTTAGTGAAATTTAAACCAAGTCAAATAAATTCTCAGAACAGACAGCAAAAATATATTGGTTTACCTAATATGAAGACTAAGTATATGTTTAGTGAGCCAGAAAAGCAGGGCACCAAAAAAATTGTTTTAATAATAACATATTTGGGTGAGTTCTGCTTGTAATAATGGCAGAATAACTTGTATCAGACTAACATTTCTATGGATAGCTACTATACACACTGAACAAAATATTTTCCAATTGTTTAAAAGCACTGAAGAACAGCCAAGACAGGCAACCAGAGTGGATGCAACCTTTAAAAGAAGAGAATCTAGCCATGTGAGAGCCACATTGAACTGGCTTTTCCTCTCAGGGCATTTTCAAGTCCATGTAGCATATGGAAAGTAGAGCTCAAGCAGAAAGCTCACTAACAATTTAGAGTCAGCGTTTATAGATGCCACTGTGGTTGGAAATTGAGGAGGGAAAATGTGGAAAGAGGGAGCCTCTTCAGCAAGAGCTGAAGGCCAACAGATCTAAACAGAGATCTCATCAATTGCCTAGCGATGGGAGGCAGCTTAAAAGTTCGTCCACCAAGTTAGAGGAGCTTGTAAAATACCTCACACTTCCCATCAAGACCCCAAAGAGCCACATCTTAGGAATGAAGACCGTTTCCCAGAACTCGGGGCAGAACTGAAATAGGCCTACCCTAACCAAGCCTAAAACCAAGGCTTTCAAGTATCCAGATGGTCTGCCAGTAATTTAACTAGAGGCCAGAACAAAATTCCACACTCTTCAAAGGAAGACAAGAGAATCCAAAGTTTCTACAGCTACCATCCACAGTATCCGGTATACAATCAAATAACACTAGACACGTGAAGAAGCAGCAAAACATGACACTTACCAAGAAGAAAAGAAGTTAGCAGAAGCAGATCCACAGATAGTCCACATGTTAAAAT